GGGAAAGAAATTATTCCCCCTCCCCCCAGTAGACTGGCAGGCCCCAAAACAAGAGCACAAGAGTCAAGCTATTCTCCAAAGTGCCTGAAGGCAGGACAAGAAGCAATGGGTGGAAACTAAACAAAGAGAGAAGCAACCTAGAACTAAGGAGAAACTTCCTGACAGTTAGAACAATTAACCAGTGGAACAACCTGCCTCCAGAAGCGGTGAATGCGCCAACACTGGAAGTTTTTAAGAAGAAACTGGACAGCCATTTGTCCGAAATGGTATAGGGTTTCCTGCCTGAGCAGGGAGTTTGACTAGATGACCTCCAAGGTCCCTTCCAACTTTATTATTATTATTATTATTATTATTATTATTATTATTATTATTATTATTATTATTATTATTATTATTATTATTATTATTATTATTATTATTATTATTATTATTATTATATGCAAGGAAAGATAATAAGGATATGGGGACCTGACAGTTTCATTGTTCCAGAGTTTTAGAAGAAACTTAAAAGCTGAGTTGTTTAGAGGATCATTTGATAGCAATCTGTCATTAATGTGCCAATTACTACTTTATCTTTGACTACAGTCATTTATGAAAGGGATTGAAATTTTAAGAATTATTTCTGATTTATTTATGCACTACTTTTATAAATATTTGAGGTTTTTATTGTATGTGACCATATATTGATTTGGAATCTGGCTGTAAAAACAAAGTAATTAACTAAAATTCAGAGCACATGAAACAATATAGGGTGATGGATGTGCAGAAGGATTGTGTAAAACTTTGGGTCCGACTAGGAAGAGATGCCTCAGAATGTGTGGGAATGCCAATATAACATCTGTTTTCAGCTTATTAAAACAGCTGTGGACTTTAGTGTAAGGATCCACCTGGGATCAAAAGTCCAGACCAAATAAAATTGATCATCTCTCTGAAACTGATAAACTTTCATCATCTGCCTACAATAAAGACAGAGGAGATCTTATTCTCAGTTCTTTCATACAAATTAATATTTGATGAAGTAGAGGCAGTTGGATTCAAGTGTCTGTCCTATTGGGTCCAAGAGTCAGGCTGGCTAACAATGAGAGACAACAGGGCTTGAAATATTTCAGTAGAGGTTAATCAATGATAGCTGAGAAGTTAGTGAACTACAACTATCAGAATCCCTATGGCCTTTGGTGAGAGATTTTAGAAATAGTAGCCAACAATATTTGGAATAGCACAGATTGTCTACTCCTATATCAATCCTTGATGGCTTGGCAGAGTAGTCCAGGTCTCCAACTCTCTTAAAAAACGTTTGTCCCAACTGACTGCAGAAAAATGATTGTCCTAATGCTCCCTGGTTTCCCAGGTATTTGGCAAAGTTAAAAAAAGTAACTATTAAAAAAGCATAAAAGAAAGATAAGTATCTCTATCCAACTCTGAGGCTAGCAATAATATTGTTCTTCATAAAGGAGTTTAACCAAGATATTAAAGATTTAAAGTCTCTGAAATAAATAGCTGGTAAAAAAATATTTTTAATACCTTGTATTCAAAGATTTTGCTACATATCATTATTTATTCTGCAAACAACCAGGTTTAAAAGTATGTCATAACTGTTACAGCTTTATACGGGTAGTTCTTGCTTAACAACCACAATTGGGACTAGCAACTCTATTGCTAAGCAATAGTCATTATGTAAGACACCATATGATGTCTTACCATATGATACACTTACAACTTTCTTTCACTGTGGTCATTAAGCAAATCTCCCATGATCATCATGTGGCCATGACTTGCAATTTTACTGCTGGCTTCTACATCATCTCTCATTATATTGTAGGAAACCAACTGTGAAGTACACAAATTGTGATGCTCTGACTGCGCGACACTCAATGGTTATAAATGCCCACTGATTACAAAGTCCAAATCTGCAGAGATGCTGCAACAGTTGTAAATCTGAAGAATGGTCATAAAAGTTATTTTTTCAGTTCCATCGTAACTTCAAATGGTCACTAAACAGGACATTTGATAAAACAAAGACTACCTGTAATTTAAAAATCAAAATATATTTCAAACCTGTCACAAATTCATCTATTTCTTTAATCTTTTATTTTAATACTTTGAAACTTTCCAACAGCTGGCTTAAATTGTAGTGTACTGCTGAATAGCATTGCAAAATTGGATATATCCTAGAATATATCAGATTATCTTATGTCAATGAAGATTAAACCAAAGTCCTACATGTTTACTTAGAAATATTATAAACTACAGTTGTAAGCATGATACTTAAAATAAACCAGCTTCCAGATTTCAAGGATAAAGGCAGCAGTATAAAATATTCGACACTAATAAAATCACATCACCAAGAGGTAAGCCTTAGCATGGTTTCTGTTATTGAACAAATGTTGATTGATCTAGAAGCATGCAGGTTTCATACAGACTGTTTATCTTGTCATATTGTATAACCGCAGCCTATTTTAATATTATTGGCTTCAGTGGTTTAATTCCAGGTACTTAACTCTATAGGTCTACTGAATCATTGAAGCAGGAACCTGTACAGAAGGCAATATACACATACTGTATGTGTGTACATACTTACAAAGATACTTTGATTATAAAATCCTAGAATTATGGACTAGGCAGGGACATCTAGTTCAACTTTGTAATGCACAGGAAAACCAATTAAAGTGTCCTTGAGAGATGGTTATCCATTCTCTTTTTAAAAACTTCCATGAACGAGAATCCAGGTAGACTGTTCTATAGTTGTGTAAATCTTGTTGTCAGGTAGAGTAGTTTTCAAACTATGGCTCCATTACATGAAGATATGGGAATAGTAGCTATAAGCTTCAATCTAACTACTTAAACAGATCTTCATCTATGACTAGCCTCTAAATAAGGAACCTTATTTACAGCATTTAGGAACCTAATAATGTAGTAAGACACGCATTCTCCATTTTATCTTTTTTGCAGTGAGAGAACTAGTCTAAACTGGCTAGCTCTATTGCAGTCAAATTCAGAATCATAACAAAGGAAATATCCTTAAATGCTTTTTTAATTGGCTCCCTACTGAATCACAGATAGAATTTTGCTCACCAATGATGTACACTACAATGCATTTCTGTTGAAAGGATGGCTTTTACAGAGAACAAAATTACTATAAATGTGTAACATACCTCTCTTCTCTTGTCTCCATGGAATAATTCAAACCCAAACATACTTTGTAAGTCTACTATCTCTAAGTAACATATCTTAAAACAATTCTGTATGTATCATGAAACCCAAGCTTGTAAAACATAACTAAGATAGCTTGACTTGAACGTCTGTGTATTTGTTTAATACCTTTTCCAAAGCTCTTCCAGTTGAGCACCTTGATGATATCATGAGGTAGAAGCTGACTGTATTTTTTTTTACAGAGAACTCTTATAAAAATTAATTCTATGAGATAGGAAAAAGCATCCCAACCCAAATCCATCATTCATTATTATATTAAAGTACATATTTTCTTCTTTATCCAGCTAATGTGTAAATACATTATCTTTCTATTATGTCATGCTATTTATTATTGGACAGGCAACAAGGAGGTTTACTTCAGCTCCTCAAAGGTCTAGATTTATTTAATGAAGTAAACTGTAATTATTTTTCTTTTTTTAAAGTAACATAAGAGTTTGCTAAAAGCTTTCCATGCACATTCATATTTATCAAGAGCAGCTGCTAATGTATTCTTGCAATTTTCATCTTATGACTTGTAGGAAAAGAAAATGCACAATCTGTTCTATAAAAGGATGAAGCATTTTAATAAGGAACTACCAGTAAATGACTTATAACTGTTAACAGCTAAATCTTGTACTTTTCAATGAAGAAATAAACAAAGTCTTGATCTTATCCTTTCAACCCCATTCATAAAACTTTAATGCTTTCTTGTTTTATTCAGTATTACATTCAATATTATGTATAGAACAATAGATATGGAAGCTGGAACTACCTGGTGTAGCAGGTGGGAAAGTAGAATGTCTTTATTCTCCCTTATAACTTTGAATAAGGTGAATAATATCATCAGAATTTGCAGCTCAATTCTAATGTCCAGAATCTCAGTAAAGGCTTTCTCTCCCATTCTCTCCTCCACCCCCTTCATTCAAGGTGATTTAACTGAATCAACTTGTACAATAAAAGCTTTGAATCAAGTTTCTNCTGTGCATGCAAGCAAATGCTCATGTGGGTGGATCTTTCGTATACATATTCAATAACAGAAATAATTCCCCTAGGATCTTAGTCTATTCTTGTGAATAGGCCACTATTATGAATATTTATGTGGGAGTTAGTCAGCTGCAGTAATATAGGAACAATCATAGTCATTTACATTCCATTAGACTATTAGTCTAACTAGTTCAATATATTTGGTGCTGGCTGGGTCTTCAGTTTCTGACAAGATTATACCTCTTCATACCATATTTGGAAATGTCTGGATTAAAAATATGAGTTCTATATATGAAGCATGCATCACTTAGTAGCTACCAGTCACACTGACTTTCACACTGAAAATCATGTTAAATAGTTGCTTCTTACCAGAGTCTGATAGCTATTTAAATGAAAAATAAATAATCAAAAAATAACACTGTTGTTATAATATGGCAAAATCAGGCGACTGTGAAAGCTCACATTTTGTAATGTTTGTGCTAATTAATCAGGACTTGATGATACCCCAGGATAAAATGAATACTCAGAGTCCTATGGAGAAGTACAGGAGCAATTTTACCACCAAACTATACTATCCAATCTGTCAGGTGTGAACAACTTGGCTCAGATGTGAAAAATTAAATTATTTGATGTATTTCTCAAGCCTATGTACAGGAAACTTCTCAGACTAACAATTTGGGTGAGACTAGATGAGGTTCAAAGGCATTCAGGGAGGCTCAGACTTCATCCTCTTGTGCCCATAAAGGGATTCTAAACTAAGTCCCCATTTGACTCCCCCCCTTGGCTCAGCCAGTTTCTCTCCTATAAATCTTAAGAATAAAGATTACCTGCCGTAAGTCAAGTGTGATGGTCACGTAGTGATATTCCAATCCATTTTGAATGCTAGGACTTTGCCACCATGTATTCTTGCCATCGATTGCATTTGATATCGGATGTCTCACTATTGAACCAAGAATAAAATAATAATAATTAGGGCAAAATGAATCTCATCTTCTTTACCCCTTATTCTGTTTTCATATGAGTGCAAGTAGAACATGCTATATAATGTCTTAGATAAAATTATTTTTCTAAGTTTCTTACGACGGTGCTGACTTTAAAAAGGTGCATACATTGCTTTGTGATGAAATTCAATTCAACATTTTTTTTTAGAAAGATAAGATTATATGGTGACAAACTTACCTTTGCCTATCTGTAATGGGAAGAAGGAATAACCTTGAGGAACAGAAGGAAGAACTTCAACCAACACAATGATCAGATTAAAAAAAGAAGTATAATTTGAGAAAGCTCCTCATACATGATCCTCTCTAGTTCTCACAAAGGTAAAGTAGGGAGGGAGGGAAAGAGGAAATACATTCTGATTTGCAAGATTCTGTTACTATAACTTTATACTAAAAGTAGTATATTTGTGTGTCTTTGGTTTCCAAGCTTTGTCTACCTTGGAAGACTGACACTACCTCATTTGCTTCTGCTCAGAATAAGCCACTGAATTCTGATGTAATGAAACAGCCATTAATTTCAATGGAAGCTGAAACAGATTTATCAGGCACCTTCTAATGGCATCATTAGTACTCAGAAGTGATCCCTAATAAACTGCATCTAAGGAAACTAATTGCTTCAT